CCTATGATGAAAATTACAGGCCTCTCTCATCTTTTTAAGTGGGAGAACTTGCACAATTGGTGGCTGACTAAATACTTTTTTGCCCCACTGTAGCTGGAAGGCACTGCAAGGGGCACAGCAGCAGAAGCTTGCCCAGGCACCAAACAGGTGCGTGGTACAGAGGCTGCCCAGATCACGTCACCACATTCAGAGTGAGAACAGCAACTTACTTCTGAAGAGGGGGCAATGCCAAGACAGTGTCCTGGGGAGACTCCACTCCAGAAGGGACCAGCTCTTTCATCTTCTCCAGTTCTTTCTCCAGCTGCATTTCCATAAAATATTGGATGGCGTCAATGGGGCGAACGGGCTGCTGCCAGGGACGGGCCCATTCTTCGGCCTGAAAGAGGAGAGACGGTGGAACAGACCAGCAGCACCGCCAGCACAGGTCAGCAGGTGCCCGAGCTGTGTCAGCTGCATTTTGATCGTTGCGTTTGGGCCTGTATCAGAACAGCCTCCGAGGCAAAGAGGCAGGAAGCAGGAAGCACAAGAGGCCCCTGAGCTTCCTTTCCAAGGTCACTCCCTTTGACACTTCTCCCAGGAGACTTGCCACCTGTCAATATTTAGGACCAAAGACTTTTCATGGGTTCGTGTGCAGTTTACAGGCTGTAATTTTGGAAAGAGCGGGATGCTTCTCTACTGGGATGATGGTGACGAAGATGATATGATAGTTCTGAACTCCTCTATCAGCAGGGTTGGAAACTTAGCAAAAGGTTTCTGAGTCTTTGGGGCACGTCTGCTGGCGGCTGTGAGCGAGCCCAAAGGAAGATTACCTGCAAAGGGACACCTTCGGGTGTGCCCCCTCAGAGCTGCCATGAGGGACGTAAAATTCCTCTTCTTCTGTGCTGCAGGCAGGCAGGCAGCATGAGAAGGTGGGCCAGCACGGTGCTTAGGGGCAGCGGCTGCCCTTTCCAGGGGGCCTTCCGGCAAAGCTTCAGATTGGGGTGCGTTTCTGCAGCCATTGGCAGGACCGCTCAGCCCAAACTTGAGTTGGGGGGGCATCCTCCAACTCACTTTCTCAGGACCCCCGAGGAGGGGGTGGCCTCCTAAGCTTCTGGTCTCCCAGGCCCAGCGGCGTGCTTGTCCGAGGGGCTCTGGAGGAAGACGTGGGGCATTGGCATGCAGCAGACTGAGAACCCAGGCACCTGGCTGCTCCTCCAGCCCAGGGGACCAGGAGGGGACAATCTCTGGGTGGTTTCTGAAGGACTTGGCGACTGTACGGAGGACCACAGCCGTGGCTTGCCTTTCAGGGGAGGGCACTGTTTTATGGCTACCTTACAGCAAATACAGGTGTAGCAAGTTTTGCCCCTCAAAACGGTGGGAAACCCTGCTAACAACTTTCACCAGCTGTGATCAGCAAGGCTCTCAGGCTGCAAAAAGGTTTCACGGGTCCTTGCAGCTCTGCCTCACGCTGTTCCTCTGCACCACCCAGAAAGGGTTCATAGCAGCCCTCCCTTCCCACTCAAAACCCACACCGCCCAGCCATCGCCCAGCCCAGCCCCCCACCCCCCATGCTGGGTTGCGCACCACAGATGAGTTTCTTGTCAGGAAAACAAGGCGCTAAATGTGGCCCTTGAAGTGACATGACGATCTTGAGGGATGAGAGAAAGACTCACCTTCTGGTGGTCTTCCAAGCTGTGCTTCCTCTCCAACTGCTCCTCAAGCAGTTCCCCTTCCTCCCTGTCCATCTCTTCCTGGGTCAAAATAGGAAGACAAAATAGCAAGAGCCCACCTTTGCCATTTTTCATCCCCTTCAGACAGCCAATCGAAGATTTAGAACAGAATAAAGGAAGTCACAGGACACCTTTGAGTGAGATAGGACCACCAGCCTGGACGGCTTGAAAGGCAATGGACTAGTTGACAGACAGGAGAAAAGAGGGCAGGACTGCTGCGTGTACAGAGTATTTGCTCCTTGTTTTATCTGAAGGTATGCTTATTTAAAGGACAAATGACAAATTGATCAACCCAGAGTTCTCACTCGAGGTACAAATGACCTGGCTCAAATTATCCTACTTTGGACACATTATGCGAAGACCCAGCTCTCTGGAGAAGGCTCTGATGCTGGGAAAGGGGGAAGGAAAGAGAAGAAGAGGAGGACCAGCAGCAAAGTGGAGAGACTCAATTACAGTGGCAGTGGGTGCACCATTGGGAGGCTTGAAAAAACAGGTCAGGCATAATCATCGCTAGGAGTCAAAAACGACTTGATGGCATATAATCAACCAATCACATGTACAAATATGTGCATACAGGAAGTCCTTGACATACGACCATTCGGTCAGCGACTGTTCTGAGTTACAATGGTGCTGAATGAATGGTGATTACTACTGGTCCTCAGAGTTACAGCTGTCCCAGCACCCCCATGGTCACATGACCGCAATCTGGGCACTTGGCAATGTGTTCACACCTATGGCCGGTTGCTGAGCATTACACAATCATGTGATTGCCATTTGCAAACTTCCTTGCTTGGCTTCCCCAGAAAGTCAATGGGGAAGCTGGCAGGGAAGGTCGTTGGGGTTAAGTCTCCCCCACCCGTGCACCCTCCCACAGCCCCTCTGCACTCACGCCATACCAGCCACTCGTGCACCCTTGTGCACCGTCCCCAACCCACACAGGCCTCACACACACACCCTCACATCTTTGCGCACCCTCCCTGACCTGCACAGCCCCTCTCATGCAGCCCTTTGCACCCTCCCCGACCTGCACCACTCCAATCACACACCCTCACGCGGCCTCCCCCACCCACACTTCTCGCACACACCCTTACAACCTCTCTGACCCTCCCTTGCACCCTCACGCACCCTCCCCAGTCCTCTCTCACCTGGCAGTAGTCATTTACCTGCCTGCGGGCCTGGGACTTGCACCTTTCTGCCAGCCTCCCCACTGACTTTGGTTGTGGGAAGCTGGCAGGAAGTTGTCTTGCCTAACGACCGTGCGATTCAGTTAATGACGGCAATCAGGATTGCAGGGATTGCCATTGCTAAGCCATGCGGTCATGCTTTATGACAGCATCACTTACCGACAGAAATGCCAGTTCCAATTGCCATTGTAAGTCATGAACTCCCTGTATGCCTGTAAGCCAGCCTTCTCCATCTCTCTGGGGAATTCTGGGAACTGGCTGTCCCAACACATCATCTGAGAGCTATCCAGAGAGCTTGATCCAGAGTGGAAAGGATAGCGTCAACAACACCTGTGAGCCCAAATGTGGGGAAAGTGGAGGAACTCAACACTTCTGGGCTATGGCAGCGTGCCCTGTGTGCTCTGCCTTGGAGATGATCCAGAAGCGTTGGCCGTTACAGAATGCGGTGGCCGGACTGCTAGCAGGCAAACCCCAATCACGCAGAATGACATCTAGTTTGCAGTTGCTGGAGCCAGGGAGCCGCCAAGCCTCATGTGGGTGGTCGGCTGCTGCCAGCAACGGAGGAACAGGAATCGTGATCCTCTTTGCAGGCAGGGAAAGGTTTAAGTCACACAAGCAGACCCTGAGGTCCAGGACATGCAGGGTGAGGGAGTGTGTCGCGTGTCTCTGTATGTGAAAGAGGGAGTAAATGTTTGGGCAAAACTGCAAGAGCAGGGCTGGGAGGTCGTGTGGTTGTACTCACAGCACGCCACCCACTGTGGGGCCGCTCAAGGGCCCCTAACTCCCACCCACTCCCCTCAAGCTCTCTGTACCTGTCTCAAGGGAGAGGCCACCCTTCCCCTAGGAGCCGCCTTGGCCGGCCTCACAGCGCCCCCAGCGCGCTTCCTGGCTTCTTTGCGGCTCTTCCCCAGCGGCTTCTGGCTCTTCCGTTCCTGGGTCAAAAAGCATGACTGCCCGTCTGCCAGTTCAGCAGCCCCCAACCCACGTGCTTCTATAGAAATTTCAGTAACATGGTCTCTTTACACACGGACGTGCCCTTAGGCTAGTTTTAAAAGGAAGTACAGATCCAGGTAGTCTGTTTCTTCGCTGGTATCTTTTTGACTGCCTGGAGTCTAGTAAATAAGGGGGAGGTGCCACCCCGGCCAGAAAGGAGAGCCAAGCTGAAGGCATCCCTGAAACAACTGGCACCAACCGGGCAGCTGTGGTGGATTGCAGCAGAGAGCAAGGCTATCGGGGGGGGGCGCGTTCCGGAGGGCAGAGGGGGCAAGAGACCACGCGGTCCAGAGCCGGGGCGTGGGGGGTGTGAGAGGCTCAGGACAGCCCCTCCCTGGAATCTCCCAGGCTACGTCCCCTGGTTGCGATGTGCCGGGCAAGATTCTGTCTATGTGGCGGAAGCAGATAAAGGGACCGAGCTCAGCTGGGCTGCTCCCGTCGTTCTCGGGCTGGGCCAGAGGGCAGGGCTGGTTCTCTGTGGCTGAAACCCCACCTTGCGGCTGCTCTCCAAGGAACGCTTCTTCCCCAGCAAGGCCTCTCGCTCCTGCAGGTGAGCCTTGTGTTCCTGGGGGAAGACAAGGGCAAGCCTGAGCCTCAGGGCCCCCTTTTCCACAGACACCCTTGGAACTGCCGAAGGCCCGGGGAGTGTTCCTGCCGGCTGGGGAGTCAGGGCGCAGCTGTGACCTCGCAGCTGCTCCCGTGCCCAGAATCCACCGCATTCGCAAGGCTGGGAGCTGGCAGCATCCACAATCTGTTGGGGTATTTACTGGCCATTGTGAAGGCGGGCCCCTCCCCTGGCAGGACAGCTCACCCAAATTCCACGTTTCTCTTCCAAGGCTCTGCCTTAAGGGGGAAGGAGGCTCAGCCTGGAGAACTACAGCTCGTTCCCTTCTCCCTGCTTCTGACATCTGGAACAGATGAGCCATCGGGCAGTGCCAGGCTCAACCCTAAAGCCACCATGCTTTCTCCTGGGGTCACAGGGCAGTTACAACTGCAACATTCGTGCATCTGTGGACTCCAAAGCACCCAAAGGCCCCAGTCCTAATGAGCAGTAACGTGCAAAACACCAATTCACTCTTTGCTTGGAAAGAAATGCTTCTGCAGCGGCAAAGGTTTGGGCTTGGGGTGGCACGTCCACAAAGTGGAGAAGGGCAGTACCTGGAAAATCCTTATAACGTCCTCCAACCATTGGCTGCTGAATTTCCGCACGTCCTCTTTACGGTTTCCCATACCCACCGGCCAGGAACTCATCTCCTTGAAGAAATAGTTGTGAGGGTCATAGAGCCCTATCTCCTTTATCATATCCTTAATAACTGCCCTGAAAGGAGAGGGGGGAGGAGGAAGGGGGCATTCCTTAGGCTAGAGTTGATATTATTAACTAACTATTATTAGTCAATAGTATTAATCGATGGCATGCAGTCCCCCGAGGGAGCTCCCCAGCCCCTCGAGCTAGCGGTGCGCTGCCCCAGCCTCCTGCTGCAAAGAAAACAACATGGCTCCCAGCAGGCCCTGTGAGCGTGGGGCACCGCCCTGTGCACAACGCTGCAGCAGGACGCTCAGCAGAAGACGACCTTCCAGGGCAGGCCAACCTGGGCCTTGGAGCCCACAGCTGGAGCTTCTCCTGCCCAAGGTGGGCCTCCTCAGGGCTGCAGAGAAGCGAGCCAGCCGAGGGGCAGCTACAGAGGGCAGCGGCTAAGGTGGCCTAGCCGCACAAGGGCACTTCGGCCATCTGTGCCTTGGAGCAGACGAAGCCTGATCCCGCAGGGGGGCAGCAGGGGGCCTGAGAGCCGGCTTGCCAGCTTCCCCCTTGCAAGCAAGTGGTCGCCGCCCACCCGCAGCCTGAGCCTGCAAACAACGCCAACCCTTCCCTCCTCAGGAAATCCAGGCCAGAAACCCTCTCCAGTGCCCAGGCCCAGTCCCTGGAGGGCTTCCTCTGCCACGAGAGGAAGGCTGCTCATCCTCACCGGAGGTGGGCAGGAGCCATCATGTAGTAAGTCATCAGCTCCACCATCAGTTCCTTGCTGTCTCTGTCCAGTTTCAGGAGAACGCGCAGGGTTGCCAGAATGAACTGCTTCTGGCTCTTCTCCTAGAAAGGGGAGGGCGTCCGAGATGCAGCCCTCAGGCAGGCAGGCAGGGAGGGAGGGAGGGTTCAGGCCAGGCTCGCCTCTGCGGCCCTCCCTTCCCCACACTGCTGGGATGGGTGGCAGGCCCCTGGGACCTCTACTCTGCCCAGGTGTGCCGCATCCAACGGGAGCCTCACAGGAGCACCAAAGGCCTTCCCACCGGGGCCGTCCTTCACCCACCACGCTCTCCTGAAAAGTATCTCGAGCAGCCTCACCTGCAAAGAGGGGACGTGGCCCTCCTTATTCAGCACCTCAATCAGGGTGTTCTGGATCCTGCTCCTTATCTTGCCCTCCAGCTGACCTTGCAGGAGTGTGATGATGCCCACCAGTTCGGTCTTGGTGTTGAAGCTGGAGGTGTGCAGGCTTTCCTGAAGCCTCTTCAAGAAGTCTTTCAAGCTCATGCCGGGGGGGAAGCCCTGGGAAGAGGGAAGCCCGGCTCAGGAGGAGGTGGCGGCAGTGCCCCCCTTCTGGACCAACCCAGCTCCTCCTCCTCCAGCGTGGGGGCCCAAGCCTTGAAGGCACCAAAGATGCTGCAGGAAGCGCTGGCTTTGGAAAAAGGTGCTTGAAGGTTTTGTTATTTGCCATCTCTAATTAATAAACGCAGTCAGGGATTTTTAAAAAATAACTACTAGTTTACTTTGCCTAATGGGCACAAGACTCACTTCTTAATACCTCCACCAACAACATCTAATCGTATGTATCCCATACTTATCACACATGACATAATTATGGCAGTGCTAATCTTGGGCAAAACTGATTTACTTATTTAGCTGCCCATCTCACAAAGGCGTGTGGTGTGAAAACATAGCAACAGTTAAAAACTACGTAACAATCTAAAGATGTATTGCCGAAGGCTTTCACGGCCGGCATACGATGGCTGGCGTGGGTCTTCCGGGCTGTGTGGCCGA